GAGAAGAAAAATGTAAGAGATATAGGAAAAATTAAAAATATTTATTGTAAAAAAACAGATTAAGATTAAGAAGAAAAATGAGGCAGTGATAAATGAAGACATATAACCTGTCAAAACAAAAAATCAAAATGACAATAATTCAATCTGTTTAGAGGACTTTAAATCTTAAAATAGAATTAAGTCCGAACTGTAAAGAAGTAAAGTTGACAGAACTATAACTATCAGCAGTAAATGACTGCTGGCAACTTGTGACTGACTGTTTGCATTATTATTATTGAAGTTATGAAATAGCTTTGGCTTTGAGCATAAGAAAAATAAAAATAAAAATGAAGATATAAAAGCAATGATAAGGAGGGTGAGGAGAAAATAAGATAAAGATATTAATGACAGGACTGAAGATTGTACCATGTACGAGGTAAGACAAAAAAACAGATAGATTTGAAATTGAAATTATATTGACTATCTTTTTCTTTACTTGTCATTTTCTTGAAACTTATCCACAAGTAAAAAATATAACCCATAAACACACACATACATGTTAAAAAATACAAGGCCAATATCTTATCACCTTTGCATCTAAATTCAATTTACTATAACCTTTAGTCTTATGAATCAATTTTTCATTTAAGTAACTGATCAAATAATCATTCTCCACAGGAAGAAAAAAAAAAAATTGTTTGTGACATGTATCACATCTACACGAACATCAAAGTTCTAGCTATTTTCTCTGCAGTTTCCTTATACTGTGAGATCACACAAACATCATATTGTGCAAAGGGTTTTGTCATTCTACTACAACCTATCATGGGCACTTTCTGTTTACACTTGTTTCTCACATAACACAAGAAGCTAAAATAAAAAGGTGAACATTGTGAGTGAAGGTGATGGGGAAGCAGACATTTCATCCAGCAATGTTAACTGCTTTGTCAGATTATTTGACAAAGGAGTAAAAAGCTAAGTGTAGGCAGGGGAAGGAAACATGACATGCATGTCTGAGAATGCTTTCAGGGATGAAGAAAAATAATTAGAATAAAATAAGCTTCCTTTCTCATATCCTTGTTACGTCTGGGTTTTCAGGCAAATAAAAATACATTTGGTAATACATGAATTCATGCCAAACCCAAAATAAGGTAAGTCAAGCACATTCCTTATTTGGGATTCACATTTTAAAAAATGAAAACGAAAATCTAAAAAAAAAAGTAAAAAGGGTAATCTGAGTAAAAATAAAAGAGATAAAAGGCCAACACATTGAACAGCAAACCATAAAGTAGGGGAACACGATGCAGGAGCAACAACAACAGCAGGATCAGCAGCAGATGGTTGTTTATCTTTCCTTACTAAAAGACAAAAGAGAACTGTTTCCAAGTACCGTAAAATTGGATAGGGTCTTCGCAGTTCCACAGGCACCAGCCCACAGTCGGAATGGGACCTGAGAAACAACAGTTACTCATGCTCAGCCTCCAGCCTTGCCCTCTGCTCTCAAGAACACCATTCTTATTCACCACGTCAGTGGGATTTTAACTACAGGGAATCATCATCATCTTCAAAGCTAGCATGAACAGCTGATTGCATCTTCAATCTCATTCTTACCCAAAGCGAGTCTGGTTGACTAAGAAGAATCATTGGTCTTCTAGGAAAATAACACTTACTAACATCTAATCAGAAAAAAATGGAGGAAATGCTAAACATCTATGTAATACATATTAGGAAAAAGAAAATGATACAAGAGATAATAACCAAGTATTAAAAATACCAGATATATAAACAAATACAAAGCCTACATATACTGTACTATACCAAACATTTGTGAAAAATATAGAGTTCTGGGTAACACATGGATAGGTAACACACATTCCTATAGAAAGGTAAAGGAGAAATTAATCAACAACGAAAAAATTAAATAATCCAAAAGCATCTACAGAATCATTGGGGATAAGGAGGGGGGACGGGGAGACAGCACAAAACATTTTAATTTTGCTGAAATTGGAACGAAAAATATATATTGCATGGAACAAGCACAGTTTCTCATCATACACCAATGGAAGCTTGAAATGGGGATAAGATGCTAAAGGATAAAAATTTATATAACTTTTTGTAAAGGAAATGTGGTTTTATATGTGTATGGAAAAATATTACCCTCTCATTTTATATAAAACCTTTTGTACAGATATTCCCAAAGGCCCTATAAATCATCTTAAAATCTTGATTTCTATTTTTCTTTGTAAATAAATGAACTTGGGACCTCAAAAGAAATATTTTTTTAACAGATGCAATACTAAAAACATTTAATGGAAAGAAATTTAAAGATAAATGAAAAATCATAAAGTTTATCCATTCTCTTACCAGTTACATTCCAAAATTTAAACAGAAATAAATAAAACAAGAAAATATAGTTTATTTAACTGGACATTTTGCAGTAAAATCAATAAATTGGGTTAGGAGTTCCATATAATCATCTCGTATTGTTTAGGTTGAATTAAAAGCCAATTTTATACAGAGC